TACTAGCCCTTATACTTGTTCATGCATTTCCCTTTATTAGGTATTACTAGTCCTTATACTTGTTCATACATTTCCCTTTATTAGGGATTTTTCTTTTTATGTATAGTTTGAACTACTTTCTAGTCTTTTCCCTTCCATCTACAGAACTCCCATTAGTATTTTTTATAGGGCTGGTCTGGTGGATATGAACTCGCTCAGTTTCTGTTTGTCTGGGAATGTTTTAATTTCATGCTTGTAGTTTCACTGAGTATAGTCTTCTTGGTTGACAGTTTTTTTCTTTAAGCACTTTAAGTATATCATTCCGTTGCCTTCCAGCCTCTCATGTTCTGAGGAAAAATCGGTACTTAATCTTACTGGGGATCCTTTGTATGTGACTGCTTCTCTCTCACTGCTTTCAGGAGTCTCTACCTTTATTTCTGAAAGCCTAACTATGATGTGTCTTGGTGTAGATCTCTTTGGCTTTATCCTGCTTGGTGTTCTTTGAACTTGAATTTGTAGATTCATGTAGTTCATTAGATTGGGAAAATTTTCTGTCATTATTTCTTCAAATATTCTTTCTGTCCCTTTCTCTCGCTCATCTCCTTCTGAAATTCCTATGATGCATATATTTGGTTTCTTGTTGTTGTCTCATAATTCCATTAAACTGTGCTCAGTCTTCTTGAGCTTCTGCTTTTGTTGCTCTTCAGCCTCAGCAGTTTAAAATATTTTATGCTCTAATTCACTGATTCTTTATTCTGCCTGATTAAATCTGTTGGTAAGTCCTTCTATTGTGTGTCTTATTTCAGTTATTGTCCCTTTCATTTGCAATATCTTTTTGTAGATTCTCATTTTGTTCTTGCATTGTTTTCCTTATTCTCTTTTAGCTCTTTGTCTGTTTTCCTTTAGTTCTTTAATTATGTTTATTGTTGTTGTATTATATTCTTCCTTTTTCCATTATTTTGTCACCCCTAGATGGGCTTTCACTACCTTTGTCATGTTCATTTGGATGGGCTATTGTTTCTCTGTTCTTTGTGTGTCTTGTGATTTTTTGTTGGGGCACTGGAATTTTTGAAGGTGTTAACTTTCTCAGTTTTCCCCAGTATTTGATGTTTTTGCCTACACTACTTTCTGCAAGAAACTCTTAGGCAGGCAGAGAGTGGCTGAAGAGCACTCTTTGGACTTTGCTTACCACTTCCTCTCTGTGATAGCTCTTTGTCCCTTCCTGGTTTAATTAGGATTCAAAAGTTCCAGATCTCAGTTTTCAACTTTCAATCTCGCCCAAACACACCAGAGAATACACTGCGGTCAGTCTGTCCCCTATGGGCACTGCCACTTAGGTGAGATATCATGTACTAATCATTCTGTCCACCAGAGGGTGCAGTCCCCCCCTCTAGTTATTACTCCCCTTCTCTGTTCCTGCAACCATGTTTTTAGCTGGAAAACTTAGACCCAGAAAGCCCCCTTTGGGGCTCGGTGTTGCCCTCCAGTTTTGTCCAAGGCTTCCTTCCCTGCTCTGTGGGGGCTGCTTACACCTGAGCTGGCATTTGGGGAAGCACAGGCAGACTTTCTTCTGTTTTAGGAGGAGGAGGGGCTGGTACTCCCCAGAAGGACCTCTGAGAGATCTGATTTGTTGGTTTCAGAGCCCCAGTGGCCATGTGGTGGTTGGGGGAGCTGTCTCCATTTAGGTGACCCATCTCCTGACTCTACCATAGGGAATCTTCTATAGGAGTTTGTATCAGTCCTGCAGCAGTTACTGGTGGGGGTAGGGGTAGTCACATTCCAAACGGACCCACAGGGAGGTCTGCTTTGTTGCTCTCAGAACCCGCCCCATAGTATGCTGGCTGTGAATGTAGCCTCCATTCAAAATGCCTGCTTCCTAGCACATAGCAGCCTCAGTCAGTAGCCCTCAGTGCCAACTGTAATGCGGAGCAGAATGACCCAAACTCATCCCCAGGGAGGTCTATCCTGTTGGTTTTAGAAGTCTGAGCTATGGGCTCCACAAGGAGGCAAGCAGAGTACTGACAATGGGAGTAGACTCCACTACAGGGTACTTCTGTAGCAGTTTTCAACAGCTTGACACCCAACAATTACTAGGTGAGGGAGGGGTTGTCACACTCTGCTCAGATCCCTGTGGAGGCCTGCCTTGTTGCTATCAGAGTCCCCTCAGCAGATTGTTGGCTGTGAGTGCAGCCTCCACTTGACTCCTGCTTCCCAACACAAAGCAGCCTCAATCAGCAGTCCTCAGTGCCATCCAGAAGTAGGGCCAAACTAACCCTAACTGACCCCTAGAGAAGTTTGTCCTGCGGGTTTCAGAAGCCAGAGTTATAGAGTGCGCAGGGAGGCAGGCAGAGTGATGACTACCGGAACAGATTCCACTGCAGGGGCCTTCTGTAGCAATTTACAACAGGCTTGCAGGTGACAGTGTCTGGGAGGTGGAAGGGCTATCACACTCCAAAGAGACCTCCAGGGAGGTCTGCCTTATTGCTATCAGAGTCCTCACTGTAGTATGTTGGCTGTGGGTGTAGCCCCCACTAAGGATGTCTGCTTCCTAGCACACAGCAGCCTCAGACGGCAGTCCCTAGCACAGACTGAAAGGAGAAGCAGACATACTTGAACTGACTCCCTGGGAAGTCTGTCCTGTTGATTTCAGAGGCCTGAGCCATGGGGTGTGCAGGGAGGCTGGTACAGTGTTTACTATGGGAGCAGACCCCACTGCACGGGCCTTCTGTAGCAATTCACAATAAGCTTGCAACCAACAGGGTCCAGGTGGGGAAGGGGTAGACACACTCCAGATCCCCGGGGAGGTCTGCCTTGTTGATTTTAGTGCAGAAGCTTAGGGTCCTATCTCTTTGTATAGATAGGGGCTGTGGTGGTTAGGGAAGCAGGCTCTTTCTCCAGGATTTGATTACCCCAGAATACAGCAGCTGGCAGCACGCGTGGCTGAGGAGAGGAGCAGGGAAGGTGGGAGAAGCGATTTTCCTACTGTACGCGACTCATCCTTATTTGTTGATTCTTGCCTGTCTGCAGTTCCCTGCTGCTTTTCTGTTTCCTGATTCAGAGTCCCTCAAAGCTGAGCACCATTTCTTTGTTGTATTTGCGGGGGAGGATTGGAATGATGGTCTGCTTACACCACATCTTCCTAGACTCTTCCTAGGCTACAATCTTTATGGGGGCAGTTCACCAAGTCTTTTCTCCTGTGGAGTGAGTGGAGAGTGGGTTTGAATCTCCAAAGTCTGAATGGTTAAATAGTCAAGCGCTTAACCGCTGCACCATCAGGGCTCCTTGTAAAAGTGGTAGGAACTCTCAAATAAACATCTATTTTTGAAAGATTTGATGCCTCTGACGTAGAAACTGCTGGTTGTTTTATTCTAGAGTTGATAGATACAAATTGGGGAACGTAGTATTGTTTAATCATATGTAGACAAAAGGAACTCTCTTTGTCACTAAGGGCACCCATGGAACATACATGCCATGCAGCAACAAGGCCCCTATAGAGCCACTTTCAGACTCTTATTTACTCCTGCTTATACAAGTGCTCATTTGTTACCATCTTTATAACAAATAATCCCACAATTAAACACATAATCTGAAAGGTGGCTGAATATTATTCACAATTGGAATAAAAAATATGCATCTTAAATAATCTTTCATTAGCAGAAAGGAAGACACAACAACAACAAAGTCCTCTTGGTTTATAAAATAATCTGTCATGGTAATTAAAAAAAGACCTTGCAGTAGGCAGAATAATGAACACCCCCCCAAGATGTTCATGCCCTAATGCCTGGAACCTGCGAATTACGTTACTTTACATGGTAAAGGGGCTTAAGGATGCAGAAGGAACTAAGGTTGCTAATCAGATGACCTTAAAATCGAGAGATTATTATCCAGGTGGGCCCACACACACCAAAAAAAACCCGTTGCCATCAAGTCAATTCCAACTCATAGTGACCCTACAGGACAGAGTAGAACTGCCCCATAAGGTTTCCAAGGGGTGCCTGCTGGATTCAAACTGCTGACCTTTTGGTTAGCAGCCATAGCTCTTAATCACTACGCCACCAGGGCTTCCGTGTAATCACAAAGGTCCTTAAAAGTAGAAGGAGGCTGAAGAAGAGTGTTCAGAGGGAAATGTGATTACGGAAGAAAGACACAGAGTGACGTGATGTGAGAAGGGCTGAACCTGATGTTGCTGGCTTTGAAGATGAAGGAACGGGGCACAAGTCAGGGAGTGTGGTCAGCCTTTAGAAGCTGGAAAAGGCAAAAGAAAAGATTCTCCCCTGGAGCCTCCCGGAGGGAATGCAGCCCTGATCAGACTTTGATTTTAAACCAGTAAGATACATGTTAGACTTCTAACGTAAAGAAATATAAGATGAAAAATTTGTTGTTTTAAACCACAATTTATGATAGCTTGTTACAGCAACAATAGAAAACTATTATAGACCCCAAAGTGAAATTAATAAAAACAATAGAAAATACAAATGTTTCAGATCAATTAGATGAGCTAAGTAAACTGGCTATGATATACTCCTAATAGGTATTTCCAGTAAGTTCTCTTTTTTGCATTGATAATGTAATGAAACTAAACATAAAATGAAACTATAAGTGCTGGCTTAAAGAATTTTACTGAAGTGTACTTCAAATCTCATAGTTTTTTGCCTTTGTTACATCTTCCTTACTGTTCAACAATGATGTAGTGGCTATAAACATGATAGAAATCTTTGTATTAAGCTCTGATACGAATTTTAAAAATACATAAACTCTTCCAAGCTATATAAGCTTAGGCTAACAATTATACTTATTTTTCATAAGCAAAATACCAATGAAAGTATTTTTAGTTATTTCTTGGACTCTCTTTAGATGGCATAATGGTTTGATAGCTGCACATGAGATATCAACACATCTTCCTTTTTATATATTTAACAATTACTTACGGAAAGCAAGAAAAAAGGTCTACTGTCAGAGTAACTATACTTTTGTGAACCTAAAATAATTTATTCAAGGCTCAAAAATAAGTCTGTGTTCACCTGTGGTTAAAGGCAGGTACGTGATGCTGTTCAAACAGGTCAGGGTGAACCACGTGGAGGACAGGGTAGCCCCAGAAAACAGCAGGAGAAGAATTAGTTTCAGCATACCCCTGATAAAATCTGCAAACCTGAGAAGAAACAATATTCTATTAATTCTAGCTAGATTTGTTCATACTATTTAAATCAGTGATATACTTTCATTAAACAACAATTATTGGAATGATCTTCCATTCACTCTTTTAAAAGCAAGGTTTGTATTTTTTAAGAATTGTTTTTGTGATAATTTTTTTTTTCTCTTACAGGATAGATTCTAAGTTTTAAAATGCCACTTTTATTTTCTTTATATTTTCTATAATTTCCAAGAAGCCCTAGTGGCACAGTGGTTAAACATTCCGCTGCTAACCAAAAGGTTGGTAGTTGGAATCCACCAGCCACTCCTTGGAAACCCCACAGGGCAGTTCTACTCTGTCCTATAGGGTCACTATAAGTCAGAATTGACTCGACAGCAATGGGTTTTTTTTTTTGTTTTGGTGCAAGAAAAGGCTCGAAGTCTTTTTCAGTGATTTAAAAGCTGCATGTGCAGCAAGTGAAGGTAACGGTGATGAAGAATTTGTTGTGAGTAGGGGTTGGTTAAATCGGTTCAAAGTGAGGGCAAATTTACATAACATCAAAGGGCAAGTACAAGTTGTCTGTAAGTCTGACCTTCCTAAACTGGGGACTGCCTGTACACAGTTTACTCTTTCAGAATTGTTCCTATTGCAGAAAAACTTATCCTACCCCAAGTATACAACATTTACTTTGCTAAAAAAGTGTATAATATTTACTATGCTAAAAGTATACAACATTTACTTCATTTTGAATTTTTAAATTGATTTTCATTTCTGCTGTTACTATGTGACTGTCCATAATACTTTCAATACCATCTTTGGTTTGCACTTATCTGACATGATAGGGTTAATCATGTTTGTAAGCGTTAGCTAGACTAGAATGATTTCCTATGAGAACTGATGCCATCTTTTGGTGGAAAAAATGGATGCACTTTTGTCCAATGATTTAGGTTTGTTCTCATCTAGACATGTTCCAAGTAGAAAGTTCTTATGTACTCTGAAAAAGGCTCCATAATTTGATAGAAATGTCCCGCAAGGGCATCCAAAAAACTCTGTTTTAATTCCATGCTCATCAAATACTTTTCTGATTTATATTTTGGTATTCTGCGTGAACTTACTCATCAGGTAGGCAGATGACCAGATATAGAAGAATACAAATCAGAGTTGAATAAAGCTGAATAGCGAGTAAGTGTCACACAGTCCGAGCACACAGGAGTAAACTGACCACTGGCTGTGTTATTTGGGGAAACCCAGTCTCTTCAAATGGACTGATGCCATCAAAGTATACTGTTAGGACCCAAGGAGTACCAAACTGTCCTTTAGCAATATAATTACAAAAAGTCACCCAACCCACTAATGTCTGTAAGAAGACTCCATTTCATAGAACCCAAAGTAGTGTTATGAAAATAATTTTTAAATTGATTCTAGGCCTAGGAGTACCTAAGATTGATTTCTGATCCCAGAGTAATGGCAGTATTTTTTAGAACTTCAACTTCAACAAATTAAAAACAGAAATGTCCTTGTTCTAATGTTTCCCTCTAGTTCCATCTATATATAGTTAAAATTAAGGGGTTGGAGAAAGAAAATAAAGAGAAAAGGAGCCTGTGAGACGTCATTTCTGATACATAATGGTTCCCTCTTTGACCTGGTGCTCAGAATAGTGCTTGATCGGTGATGAATCACTAAAATTGGCTGGGAGATTTAATTAGAAAAATTAGGTATGATTCTTGTCAAATGTGACAGGTCAATGCATTTCAGAATCAGAGTAGTGATTCCTACAAATAGCTATCTTCCTATCCCTCTTCTTTAGCTTTTAGATTTTATTCTTACATTTTCCCAACTTATAAAAACCTCATATAAAGTGATTTAGAAATTACAATGTCAATTTATTCTTTCATTATCCCAGAAACACTACACAAACTATAAGGTCTAGATATAATATTATCCTGTGTCAATTATGTTTAAGTATTTAGATATTGAGGTGATTTACATATCTTATTTGATCTCCTCAGATATGTAATTAGATTCTTCCCTTCTTGGTAGAGTTGATGGTCTAATTTTGTTTTTGATTAGGCAGGGTAAAATGATTTAGGAAGTGAATGAATATTATCTTTGAGAACACTAACAATACGTTTATAGGCAGTCACCTGAAAGAGTGACATTTTCATTGCTTTTCTTTTTTTAGAATAAATGAGGCCTTTTTCCTTCTTCTAACTCATTCTAAAAATGTGCTGTCATAATGGGTTAAGATCAAAAGCAGTATGATGAAACAAGAAGTCTTTGTGGACATTTTTCACCAAAATGGGATAACCATAGGAACATACCTGCCAAAAAAGACCAGAAATAAATACCTGCTAATCAGGACACTGCCTTTTCATGAAAAGTTTTGGAGATGCTCTTTCAAATGATTTTTTTTTCCAACTCTTTTCTATTCTGATTACAATCAATTTGTTTTTATTATTATATCACCTTTCTTTTGGTTCCACTTGTAGATGTTATTCCTGAACAATACCAAGTGAGGCAGCTTAATTACACTGGAAATGCATCCCTAGTCTCGAAAAAACATTTTAGGAAGGGCTACCCCTGAGGTTTCTTGTAACAGCAAATTCTATCTACTGCATGTCAATTTTGCTGCAGCTGGAACAAGTGCACTTTTCTGACTTTTGTCTTTTTTAGTTTTCCCTGATTTTTAAATGTTTATCTAAACCAATACCAAACCAAGCTTACTGCTTTCGAGTCAATTCCGACTCATAGTGACGCTACAGGACCGAGGAGAACTCCCCCATAGGGTTTCCAAGGCTGTAAATCTTTATGGAAGCAGACTGTCACATCTTTCTCGTAAGGAGCTGCTGGTGGTTTTGAACCACTGACCTTTTGGTTAGTGGCCGAGCACTTTAACCACTGTGCCACCAGGGATATATGTTTATCTATGGGAGCTGGGGCTTTTTTTTTTTTTTGGTTTTTTTTTTTTTTACTACTTCTGTTCACTCACATATGAAACATAAAATATTCTTACCTTGCCATAGCTATTCCAACTACACAGCCTCCAACTATGGACCAAAACCCAATCCAGCCAGCATCTACCTGTCAGGAAAGTGGCAGACAATATTTAATACAAGACTAGCATGCCACAATTTAGAAAGGGTGAAAAAAACAAAGATCCTCTGTAATAAAAATGTTCTAGCTAAATGACAACAAATCTAGGAAATACTATCTAATAAAATGAAAGGATTCATATGTGAGTAGTTAATACAAACAAGTATTTATGTCTAAGCAATACGTCCTTGATTAGTTTGTTATTGAAATATTTAAATCAATAAAACTATCGATGCCATCAAACAAGTATTTTTCAAGTGTGTATAACCTGCCTAGCACTGTACCAGGAACTCTTAAGAAAATAGGAAAAGCACAAAAGATGGGTCACCAACCTCAAAAAGTTTAAATATAACCAACATACACAAAACAACTAGCAAAGAATTAAGTGATAAAACATCCGGCAATGACTAAAAATGCCTTAAGAAATCAGAGGAGAGAGAGAGAGAAATGTGGGATTGAGTAACTAGGGGAGGCTGGATAGAGAAAGAGACCTTGAGCTGAGTTGCAAACGCAAAGCTCTCTCCTCTCCCGAGAAAACTTTTCTAGCCCTGCCATTTACTAGCTATGTGACTCTAGGCAAACTGTGCCTTCTACATTTCCTCATCGCTGATTAACTCTTAATATGACTTGGCTTCTGTCCTAACCCACACTCTAAGCCTTAATTTCCTCATTAGCAGAATGGGGATAAGAAAGTTTTTTTTGAGGATTGTTGTTGATAGGTGCCATCGAGTCAATTTTCAACTCATGGCGACTCCGTGTGACAGACTAGAATCACCCCGTATGGTGTTCTTGGCTGTAATTTTTATGGACAGGAGTCCTGGTAGCACAGTGAGTAAGTGGTTGGCTGCTAACCAAAAGGTCGGTGGTTTGAACCCACCAGCCGCTCCGCGGGAAAAAGATGTGGCAGTCTGCCTTCGTAAAGATTACAGCCTTGGAAACCCTAAGGGGCAATTCTGATCTGTCCTATAAGTCGCTACGAGTTAGAATCAACACGATGGTAACAGGTTTGTTTGTTTTTTGTTTAATCTCTATGGGAGCTGATCACCAGGTCTTTTTCCCACAGAGCCGCTGGGTGGGTTCGAATTGCCAATCTTTTGGTTAGCAGTCGAGTGCTTAACCGTTGCAACACCAGGACTCCTTTTTGAGAATTAAATAAATTAATAAATGTAAAATGCTCAATACATGTTAGTTGTTGTTACTGAAAATCCATGTGTCCCTAACATCGCATTTTTTTCTCTTCTTTTCTCTTCCCATGGCTACCACACATGCTTATTACCATATTTCTTACTCCTGGACTCCTGTAATAATTTCTTAAAAGGTCCACAATCTATTCTGTCCACTATTGCCAGAATAATTAACTCAGTCATTCCACTCTGCTACTGAAAAATAATTTCTGGCTTCTCTTGTGGCTATAGAGCAAAGTCCAAACTTGAACTAGCACTTGATACCTGCCAAAACGAACTTCTACCTTTCATTATTTTTCTAGTCATATTTTTCATTGTGCCTGTGACAGAGATTGCCAGCTGTCCACCATAACATAATATGTTATCTTTTTCTACCTGGGCACATAGATTACAGTCCCAGCTCCTACTCAGTTACATGTGACCACGTGACTAAGTTTTCATTAATGGAAAAGAGCAGAAGTGAGGTGTGCCACTTCCAGGCTAGAACCTGGACAGCTGTGTGTCTCCTCTGCACTTTCTTTCTCTTTCTGCCACCTGGAATCTGTGTATAATGACAAAGTTAACCATGTGTTTAATGAGAAAGTCCTAGGGGGCAGAAGCAGCCTGGATCTCTAAACCAGCATGGGGCAGCGAACTGTCCATTAACTGGACAACTGTCCTAGATTCTTATGCAAAGTGTCCTAGATTGCTATGTGAATGAGACATAAATCTCTTCTTAAGCCTCAGAATTTTGGGGGTCTACTTCTTACAGCAGCTTAGCCTACTCTAAGCACCGGATAACATCCATTCGGGCAATGTCCAACTGCATCTAAGTCCATGGTTGTATTTTTTTTGAAATACGATTCTTTATTAGAACTCTTTAAATTCTTATTTCAAATATTTAACAAGGGAAAAGAAAAAAACTCCACCCCATCATTCTTAACCCAGGGGATAGAAGCAAGACCTATAAGAACAGGTTCAAGACGGGGCTTCCACTTTAACCTGTGCATGGCTCCCGCCCCAGGGCACGAAATACCTTCAAAGCTTGGTAACTCAGACCTGTACAGCATCTGGAGTCTGCTGACTGCCAGCCTTCTGGGCTGCTCTGGAGCCTGCTGGGTGCCAGCGTACGGGGTAGAGCCCTTCTCTGTACTTTCCATCTGGCGCTGGTGGTGATAGTTGGCCAAGTTCATGATCATCTTGGCTACGTACTTCTGGTAATAAGGCCACCCAAATATCAAGATGTCTGCCTTGCCTTTGGAGTCCAACTGACTCACAAGGAGAAGGATCATTTTTACCAGCCATACCTTGAGGTGAACTCTATATAATATGGTGTTCACACAACATCCAAATCACATAACGTCCTACTTCACAGAACGTATTGTAAACGTTAAGCAATACATGAGTATAATACGATAACGTTACACAAGTCTTTTTCTTTACAAGTGTTTGCTGCCAGAAGCAGATATAAAATCCTTTCTAGAGGAAACTAACATCCTAAATCTTAAATTATCTTTACAGTTTTTCATATCATTGGCATATGGGGCAAGACAATTCTCTCTTCTGCAGGACTGTCTTTCTCATTAAAGGGCATTTACCATCTTAGTTATCCAGTGCTGCTATAACAGAAATACCACAAATTGGTGGCTTTAACAAATAGAAATTTATTTTCTCACAGTTTAGGAGACTAGAAGTCTGAATTCAGGGTGCTGGCTCTAGGGAAGGCTTTTTCTTTCTGTCAGCTCTAGGGGAAGGTCCTTGACTCTTCTGAGCTTCTGCTCCTGCGCAGTCTTCATATGGCTTGGCATCACTCTTTCCCCATCTCTGCTTCTTTCGCCTGCTTGTTTAATCTCCTTTATATCTCAAAAGAGATGAACTCAAGACACACCCTACACTAATCCTGCCTCATTAACATAACAAAGACAACCCATTCCAAAATGAAATTATAACCACAAGCATAGAGGTTAGGATTTACAATACATATTTTTTAGGGACACGATTCAATCCATAACACTTAGGAAAGAAAAAAATTTAAGTTTTGGGCCTGCTGTTGGGTGGGTGGGCTTGTAAAAACCTCAGACTTTAGTTGGGGGCCCTGAAGGACTATGCCCCATGAGTAATGGAAAAGTGAAAATAAAACAGCACTCTAAGGGACTAAAATTATCCAGTTTAAAATTATCTCAATCTCTGAAACTAGTTTAAGGTGATCCCTAGATTCTTGCCAGAAGCAAACATAAATCCTCTCTGGAGGAAAAGAATATCATCCTGAAGCTTAAATTATCTCTACAGTTTTTTATATACTATGTCTAGCATTCGATCAAAAATAGCTAGACACATAAGATAACATGACCAAATATAAAAAATAGAAATAGACCCACAAGGAATCCAGATAATGGAATTATGAAATACAAATTTTAAATAACTACCTTTAATAGTTCAAAAAGAAAAAAAAGAGAAGACTGAGGATTTCTGAAGAAATTTGGAAACTATAAAACAGAATCAAATGAACATTTTAGCACTTAAAATATAACAACTGGAATTAGCAATTCATGCATGGATTTAACAGTATATTACAGAGTTGAAAACTGAAACAGTGAGTTGGAAGAAAGGCCAGAATAAAATATGTAGTCTGGATCATAGAAAGGAAAAAGGATGGACTATTTAGAAAAAGTAAGAGATACAGTGTGAATCAGAATTAGAATCTGTAGAAACTGTAATCAGAATCCCAGATGAAGGTGACAGAGAGAATGAGTATAAGCTTTGAAGAGATATTGGCTGTCAATTTTCAGAAACTGTTAAGAGACATGAAGCCATAGATTAAAGAAGTCCTACAAACCTCAAGTAGGATTAATAAAAAGATAACCACCACCTAGTTACATAATAAAATCGCTGAAACCAAAGACAAAGAAAAAAATTTAAACGCAGTCAGCTTTTAAGATTGAAAACTGACTTCTCAATCAAAACAGTAGGAGCCAGAAGAAAATGGGATATTTTCAAAATGTTGAAAGAAAATAACTGCCAACCAATAATTCTATGCCCAACAAAAATACACTTTAAAAATGAAGGTGAAATGAAGACAATTTCAGACCAAAACAAAACAAACAAAAACTAAACTCAAATGAGAGAATTTGTCACCTGCAGACCTGCACAAAAAGAAATACTTAAAGAAGTTTGCTATGGATTGAATTGTGTGCCCCGCAACCAAAGAAAAATGTGTTGGAGTCCTGACCCCTATACTTGTGGATGTAACCCCATTTGGTAACACAGTTTTCTTTGTTATGCTAATGATGCCATATCAGTGTAGGGTGTGTCTTAAATCTAATCACTTTTGAGATATGAAAAGACCAGATTAGGCACAGAAAAGCAAGGACAAACAGGGTAGAAGTCACATGAGGATCACCAAGGAACTGAGGAACAGAAGTTGAAGGAGATAAAGATCTTCCCCCAGAGTGACAGAGAGAGGGTCTTCCCCTAGAGCCAGTGACCTGAATTCAGACTTCTAGTATCTTGAACTGTGAGAAAATAAATTTGTTTGTTAAAGCCACCTACTTGTGGTATTTCTCGTATAGTAGTACTAAGAAACTAAGACAGTGTTCTTCAGGCAAAACAAAAATGATCACAGATGGAATATCAAAGATACAGGAAGAAATGAAGAGCAATAGAAAGGGTAAATATAAGGATGAATCTCAGTGAATACTGACTGTATAAAAAAACATAAATAATGTACTGTTTAAGGAGCCTGGTGGTGTGGTAGTTAAGAGCTCAGCTGCTAACCAAAAGGTCGGCAGTTTGAATCCACCAGCTGTTCCTTGGAAGTCATATGGGGCAATTCTACTCTGTCCTGTAGGATCACTATGAGTTGGAATCAACTCAGTGGCAATGGGTTTAACAGGTACAGTTTAAAAAACAACGGCACAGATGATGGAAGAGGGTTAAAGGGAGTTAAAAGGTTGTAAGAGCCTTGGACTGCCCCTGAACAAGTAAAAGTACTAATTTATAATGAACATTGATAAGTCAAGTGTGCATGCTGTCGTTTCCAGCATAAGTGCTAAAAAAAAAAAAAGTCCGTAACTACCAAGCTAATGGGGGAAAAGATACTTAATTGATCCAGAGGAAGGTAAGACAGGAGAGAAAAAGGAAAGACTAGGCTGAATAAAATGAAAAACACCAGTAAGATGATATATTCAAATCCAAATTTATCAGTAATTACATTAAATGTAAATGGATCAAATGCTTCAATTAAAACAAAGATTATAAGACTGGATAAAAAAGAAAACAGTGATGTGCTGCTTACAAGAGGTGTATCTAAAGAAAGTTTAAAAGTTAAAAAAACCAAAAAAAATTACATAGTCTATTCTTGGTTATTCATAGTAGTTATGTTAGTGAATACTGAACCACTGCCCCTAGAGGAAATATAGGGTTAGGTTCCCGAGAGCCTCTGGCTACAAAATTTTCATTAACTGATTAATACATAGCCTTATTTTATGTGTGCTTCTCTTTCAAGATAACCTTACTGAATATATATTGTTGACTATTTAACACTGAGGAGCCCTGGTGGTGCTGTGGTTAAGCGCTCGGCTGCAAACCAAAAAAAGTTGGCAGTTCAAATCCACCAGCCGCTCCTTGGAAACCCTATGGGGTAGTTCTATTCTGTCTATAGGGTAGCTATGAGTCAGAATTGACTCGATGGCAGCAGGTTTTGGTATTAAACATTGAAGTCATGGTCAACAGCTGTGACTGCATTCCTGGACTAAGCCTAAGTTGTCCAAGTAATCCTTGGTAGAGTACTACATAGGTCCTCACTTCTAAAGCTCGGTCTTCATGACATATCAAGAGGATCCCCAGTGCTTTAACAAAGTATTAATAAGATTTTACTACTCTGCATGGGCCAGAATGCCAGTAACTGCTTGACTTCTATTATTTTTGTTCTGCTTCCAACTGCATGGCAATCTCCCTCTGTTAAGCCTCTAGTACCTTTGCCCTGTACGTGTACAGTCCAATCCTCAGCCAAGGACTTGCTGGGTTCCCCCAACAGACTTCTGGAAGCTCCTTTCTGCACAGTTCCCTCTTCTACAAATCAGCAAGAAAAAGGCAGCCTAATAGTGGGCAAGAGACTTGACAGGTATGTCACAAAAGAGGATTTCAAATATCCAATAAACATTTGAAAAGATATTATGAAAGAAACTACAATGGCATACAACTGCACAGCCATCAGCTGGTCAAAAACTAAAAAGACTGACATTGCCAAGTATTGGTAATAACGTAGAAAACGAGAAATTTCATGTATTGCTGATGGGACTGTAAATAGGTACAATCACTTTACAAAAGATCAGCATCACCTACCAAAGTATTCATGCACCATAACCAGTAATTCACATCCTAGATCCATATTCAATAGAAATGTGTACAGAAGTGCATCAAGAGACACACAAAAGAACATTCATACAGCATTGTTAGGGATGGTCAAAAAGTGGAAATGATCCAAATGTTCATCAAAAGCAGAATCAATAAATTGTTTATTCATATGATAGAATATCATACCAGTGCACTGGATTTATTCCATTTACCCCTCCAAATCTCTCTTTACCCCTTTCTACCCTTCTATCTGGGAGCAAGGAGGAGGAACGGATGGCAGCAAGCTGTAATGGTTACTTTTTTAAAAAATGACAAACTCCTATCCTGCAACTGGAGGGAAAATAAGAAATTAGATGTAGGAATAGTCATATATTTGACGATGAGCTCTTAATCTTCTTTATAAAGTATGAAGCAAGGGTAAAGGATGAAGTCAACAAAACTAAGATTTTCCTCTTTATTTTTCAATCTGCTTATCAGCATCATTAATAACACCCAAAGAAATGTGAAATTCAAGGCTCTTATCAAAATCAAGGAAGAAAATCAATATTGCTTTACTATATAGCTATTCCGTAAGGATCTAGCTTTTTCAACAATGGTATAACGTATAACTTATGCTTTGCAGCTAAAATCAGTATTTATAATTTAAATGAACTAAAATACCTACAATACATAAAGAAAGAAAATACTTACTTGGCTCACACGCACTGGTGTTAAAATTAAGTCCAGAACTCCTGACCAGCCAGCAAATACACCAAGTGGTATGGCATATGCTAAAGCAATCATCAAAAATCTCAAATTGCTGTAAAAGAGAAGTGAAAGAAAATGTTATTACAAATTAAACCACCAGTATTTAAACTCTTACTCACGAAAAATATAAGTCATTTGGAAATTGGAATACCAGAATCAGGAACAGAAAGTATTTGTCGATTTGTTAATTCAAGGTTATTTAAATTTTTATTTTTATAAGAATAATCATTTTTGTCAAATTGTTTAAAATTGATCAATGTTTATTTTCTTATATAGATGAGCAACCAGCATTATTTCATAGAAATAAGTAGGCAGTTCAGTGAAAGAAAAAGCAAACCTGTATTTGAAAGGACAAATTGCTGTTTCTCCCTATGAACAAGGTATGGAGGAGAGAAGCAAAGACTAAAAAGAAATGTATAACTTGATAGTTTTATTATTTTCAGAGAGTAACTTTCATTGTGTTTTTTATTATTTCTAAAATTTTTATTAATAAAATTTTCCAATAGGTAATACAATTTAAATAACTCAAAATTGAAAAGTATGAAAGTATGGGGAAAACATCTTCCTTTATCTCTATTCCGCAGCCACACAGTTCCTTGCCCTACGATTATCAATGTTACCAGTTTCTTAGGTAACTGCCCAAAACTATTTCATAAATATACAAGCTGATACAAATATATATATTCTTTCCTCCACCTTTTACCACGAATGCTAGCATATTATATCCATTTGCTGAACCTTCCTTTTTTAACTTAATAGGGTTTAAGAGTTCTTCCATAATCCCTACCCAAAGAGTGGTCTCAATCTTTCTAATACCTGCATACTATTCCACTGTATCTGTGTATCATTAATTATTTAACCAGTCCCCTCTACTGATTAAAAAAAAAAAAAGAGAGAGAGTCTTCCAATGAGATAGATTGACACAGTGGCTGCAACAATGGGCTCAAACATAACAACGATTGTGAGGATGGCGTAGGACCAGGCAGTGTTTTGTTCTGTTGTACACAGGGTCACTATGAGTCGGAACTGACTTGAGAGCACCCAACAAATAACAACTACTGATAGATATATAGCTTTTTTCCTATTCTTTTGCTCTTGCAGGCATTTCACATGTGTGCTAGTATATCTGTAGGATCGATTCCTAGAAGTGCAATTGCCATATCAAAGAGTATGTGTATTTGTAATTTTAATCAATATTACCAACCACCCTTCACAGAGGTTGTACCAATTTATACTACCATCAGCAACTGTTTGAGAGTACTTGTTTGTCCAAAACCTCACCAAACATAGGTGCTAGCAATTTTAGGGGGCGAGGTTCTTTTTTCCAATTTGATGAGAGAAAAGTGGTATTTCATTACAGTTATAAGTTCATTCTCTTATATGAGATGTTTGCTTACTTTCATATATATAAATCATATGATTTTTCCTTTCTGTGAATGGTCTGTTTACATCCTTTGGCCATTTTTCTATAGAATCATTGGTCATTTTCTTATTTGTTGGTAAGAGCTCTTTATACACTAGGATAATAAGTTCTTTATTGATGATAGAAGTTGGAAATATTCCCAGTTTGCCATTTTGATTTGTGACAGTGGTTTTGCCTGGCATAAAGTCTTTGTTTTTATGTAGCTGAGTTTATAAACACCATTAACTGAATAAATTCAAATAAATATTTGTTGAATCAATAGATCTATTTCTCACCATCCCACACTCCTAGTTGAGATGCTATCTTCACTAAATTTACGGGTTTATTTCTGAAATTTTGATTATATTTCATTGTTCTGTTTATCTACTCATTCACCATTTTAAATATTACAGCTTTAAAATATGTATTAATATCTGATAGGGCTAGTTTCTTCTCATAACTCCTTTTTTCAGATTTTTAAAAGCTATTCTTACTCATTTGCTTTTCCATATGCACTTTAAAATCAATCTGCATAATTAGGGAAAAATCCTGTTGACATTTTAAAATTTAGAAGCATGACAAATTTAGACGAATTCAGGGAAAAGTGACATCATTTTAACGTAGAGTCTTCCAACCGAAGAACATGGTAATGCCTGTCTATTTATTCGTATCTTCTTTTGTGCCCCTTAAAAACACTTAAAATATTTCTTCTTTGGACATATCACAATTATTATTAAAGTTATTACAAGGTATTTTATCTTTTTTGTTGCTATTGCAAGTAGGTCTTTTTTTCTGGCTAACTGTTGTTTTTATATACGAAGGCTATTGTTTTCTAAATATTAATTTTGGACCCAGTCTCCTCATTCTCTTACTGTTCAAAATAAGACAGTAACCTTTGACATTAGAACTGCTTTAATGAGGACTTTGATTGATAGGACAATGATATCCCCAAAGAATATCAGTAAAGGTAAAATCTAAATATCAATTTCTTTACAAAATTGATCATATCAGTGCAGACAAGTTTGTACAGAAATATATTCTTCAAAAATATTTCTGCTTTAAAGATACCCTACCACTCCATTTCTTCTCCCTGAAACTGCCTGTGACTAAAATAGTTCTCTTTACCCTATCATTCATAATATCATAATGCTCTGAAAACAAGAAAGTCTAATTTAATTTGTTTTGAAGCACTTAAAAATTACTGAAGAACAGGGAAATCCTAGGTTTAGTAATTAATCTATAAGTAGTAATTTGAGATTTCAATCTCTAGAATATTCACCAATATCTTTTCCTCTTAAGCTAAATTTCTTTAAGACTTGGGCTGCCAGACATTTGCTTCCAGCTATGACACAGTAGTTGGAGCCCGGGTGGCACAGTGGTTAAGAGCTTGGCTGCTAACCGGTTGCTAACCAAAGGGTCAGCAGTTTGATCCACCAGCTGCTACCTGGAAGCCTTACGGGGCAGTTCTATTCTGTCCTATAGGGTTGCTATGAGTCGGAATAGTCTTGATGGCAATGGGTTTATGACAGAGTAACTGGTATCAGAATAGCCCTTGGGTTTTCTACTTATCTGCCCAAATAAAACACAAAATCAAGCCCACACAAGTTTAAGGTAATTAGTCAGTAATCAAACTACCTACTAGAAGAAAAATCAACTGATTTTAGAGGAAGATAAGAGAATCCAGAGTCTCAATACTGTATCATCCATTATACACAGTATAGAATAAAACATTATTGGAGATGCTATGGTAGGCAGGATTCTAAAGCTACCCTCCAAAGATTCCCATCCCCCAGTTATTCAGCCAACCACTAATCTAGGTGCTGTTTTGAAGGGACTCTGCAGATATAATTAAGGTTACTAATCAGTTGATCTTATGACAGATGATTATCTGGAATTATTAGGGAAAGCAAGAGTCAGAGAGATGCAACAGAAGGGGAAGTTGGAGAGATTTAACACATGAGAAGAACTCCATACACTACCGCTGTCTTTGAAGATGAAGGGGGCCATAAGCCAGGAAATGCGGGTGGCTTCTAAAAGTTGAAAACAACTCCCAGCCAACAGCCAGCAAGGAAACAGCTCCATGAACTGAATTCTCCTAATAACCAGAATGAGTCTAGAAGAAGACTCCCCCAAATTTCCATGTAAGAGCCCAGGCTGACTGACAACTTGATTTCGGTCTTGAGGAACCCAGAAGAAAGGAACCAGGTGAGTCTATTGGATTCTGACCTAAAGAATTGTGATATAATAAATTTGTGTTGTTTTAAGCTGCTAAATTGGTGATAATTTGTTATGAAAGCAATAGAAAACAAATACACATACAAATAAACAAGAAATGTGACCCAAAGGCAAACACAGACACACATACACACAAGCAGTCAATATAAATCAGCCCTAAGACAGCCTGAATGTTAGATTTAGCAGAGGTTTTAAAGCAGCTATGTTTACCTATGTTTTACTGAGTAGGCAAAGGCATTCTACTGTGTGGATCATAACACTGCGAAGAATGGGAATTTCAGAACACTTAATTGTGCTCACATGGAACCTGTACAAAGACCACCAGGCAGTCATTTAAACAGAACAAGGGGATACTGCATGGTTGAAAACCAGAAAAGGTTGCATCAGGGTTGTGGTTGTATCCTTTCACCATACTTGCTCAATCTGTATGTTGAGCAAATAATCCTAGAAGCTGGACTATATGAAGAAGAACACAGCATAGGACTGGAGGAAGACTCATTAACAACCTATGATATGCAGATGACACAACCTTGCTTGCTGAAAGTGAAGAGGACTTGAAGTGTTTACAGATGAAGATCAAAGACTACAGCCTTCAGTATGGGTTACACCTCACTAAAGAAAACAAAAATCCTCACAACTGGACTAATAAGCAACAGCATGATAAATGGAGAAAAGCTGTCCAGGATTTCATTTACTTGGGTCCTTGGTTCCACAATCAACGCCCATAGAAGCAGCAGTCAATAAATCAAACGACATATTGCACTGGGCAAATCTGCTGCAAAAGACCTCTTTAAAGTGTTAAAAAGCAAAGACGTAATTTTGAGGACTAAGGTGTGCCTGACCCAAAAGCCATGGTATTTTCAACCGCCTCATATGCATGCAAAAGCTGGACAATGAATAAGGAGGATTGAAGAAGAATTGATGTCTTTGAATTATGGTGCTTGTGAAGAATATGGAACATATTGACCACCAGAACAATGAACAAATTTGTCTTGGAAGAAGTACAGCCAGAATTCTCATTAGAAGTGAGGATGGCAAGACTTCATCTAGCATACTTTGGACGTGTTATCAGGAGGTACCAATTCCTGGAGAAGGACTTCATACTGGGTAAAGCAGAGGGTCGGCGAAAAAGAGGAAGATCCTCAACGAGATGGACTGACACAGGGGCTGCAACAATGGGCTCAAACAGCAATGATTGCGAGGTTGGCACAGGACCAGGCAGTGTTTTGTTTTGTTGTACATGGAGTCGCTATGAATCATAACTGACTCAATGGTACCTAACAACAACATTATAAATATGTTCAAAGAATTAAAGAAAAAGACAGTCTTAAGGAAAATGTCTCATATTTGATGCAAACCATCAACATACAAAACTAAGAAGCATAGTAAAAAAAAAAGAAGAAATCAAACTCATT